TTAGAAAAACGTTTGGCACTGTAATGCTCCTCTACAGGAATAAATTCTGATCTTCTATAGCGAGCCCTCTGGTATTTTATAAGAGGACTTTTAGAATTTTCTATAAAAAATATTCCTGAATATTCACGAGAAAACCTTTGAAATATTAAGGAAAGATCTCCTGGTCCTCTATAGGAAAGACCTCCTGGTCTTCTATAGGAAAATCTCCTTGTTTTCTGTAGGGAAATCCTCCTGGTCTTCTTTAGGAAAACCTCCTATATTTTCTATAGGAATATATTGTGGTATTTTATAGAAGGAACTATTGGAAGGCCTAATGGTCATGTATAGGAATAAATTCTGGCCTTCTATGGCAAGGCTTTCCTGTATCTTATGAGAAGACCTTCCGATGTTCTATGAAAAATATTCCTGAATATCCACGAGAAGGCTTTTAGGATATCCAGGAAAGACCTCCTGATCTTCTATAGGAAAAGCTTCTGATTTTCTGTAGGAAAAACCATCAGGGTTACTATAGGAAAACCTGCCGATTTTCTATAAGAAAATACTTCTAATCATCTTAGAACAAACTCAATTCTGACCTTCCGCATTTTATGAGAAGAGCTTCTGGATTTTCTACAAAAATATAAAATATATTGTGGTATTTTATAGAAGGAACTATTGGAAGGCCTAATTGTCATGTATAGGAATAAATTCTGGCCTTCTATGGCAAGGCTTTCCCGTATCTTATGAGAAGACCTTCCGATGTTCTATGAAAAATACCTCCTGATCTTCTATAGGAAACCCTTCTGGCCTTCTATGGGAAAAGCTTCTGATCTTCTGTAGGAAAAACCATCAGGGTTGCTATAGGAAAACCTCCCGATTTTCTATAAGAAAATACTTCTGATCATCTTAGAAAAAACTCAATTCTGACCTTCCGTATTTTATGAGAAGAGCTTCTGGATTTTCTACAAAAATATAAAATATATTTCCGATAATCCACCTTTTGGGATTTCCATTGAAAATCTTCAGGTCTTTAAAAAAGGGATCTCCTGTTTGTTATGGGAGGACCTGCAAGTCTTCTTGAAAAGATTTTCTGGTTTTATATATGAAATTCTCCTGGTATTTATACCCTACACAACTATGTTGTCAGGGTATTATAGCGCGAAATATTGGTCCAAGACTCACCTCTAAGTATACCGATCGTCATATCTCGACTAGCTGAATCGATCTAGACATGTGTGTCCGTCCGTCCGTCTGTCCATTATAATTTGTAAACACGATACAGGCCACAGTTATGGACCAATCTTCACGAAATTTGCATGTAGAATGGGTTGTGGCCAATGAAGACCCCTATTGTTTTTGGAAAAGATCGGTTAATATTTAGGGTATGAAATGGACCAAAAACTTTATTTTTTCTGATTTTCAGTTCCCTCCAGAGGCCGCAATTATGGTCCAAACACCGCAAATTGTTGTATGGAGAAGGGGATCGGGCCAAAGAATAAGCATGCCAGTTTTGATAAAGATCGGTCAATATTTAGCGGGTCAAATGGACCCTGACTTTTGTGTGAAAAATGACAACATTTGTATTCTATAGCGTATATATTTGCTCCTGAAGGACCTAGACCCGAGAAGATGATAGTATGTTCAAGAGGAGTGGGTGACCTTTAAATTGATACCAATTATATGGTCGTATGTACTCAGATGTGGGAGTTACACTTAAATATTTACAGGTGCTTATGTATTCAGACATTATTTAGTAACCCACGACCACTCTACAGGGCGGAAATATAGCGCTGATCGCTTTGAAAATTTCCATGAGATTCCGGATATGGTCAAGGACAACGCATATAATGTTCGGCGATGATCATATAATAATTTTGGGATGAAGTGGACCTAAAACTTAACTTTTTTTGAGTCGATATATAGGCCATAATTGAAAGCCCACATCACAACATAACCCACGGTAAAGAGAATCTGGACAAGTACAGCCCTCGTCTACAGAATATTAGTAATATTAGAATATTAGTAGGGTTTCAAACGCAAAGTTAGATTTTCGGGGAAGTTGTGTAGTGTATAATATGGTCGGCCCCGTCCGACTATACTGCTCCGCTCACTGGTTTATTTTATGACATTCTGGTCCTTCTAGTCATATCTTGAATAGAATAGAAAAGCCTTATAGTCCCCTATATATGTATAAATTGTGGTCTTTGTTAGGAATGCTTTCTGATATTTCAAACGAAGAACTCTTGGATTTAGTATGGGAAAACAGCCTGATTATCAAAAAAATACCGTTTGCACTTCCATTGAAACCCCTTCAGGTATTTTACATGACCCCTGCCAGTTCTCTATGAGAAGACCGAATGGTCGTCTTGGAGTATATGCACTGGTCTTCTTTTAAAGGAACACCTGGCCTTGGATAGGAAAATATCCTGGCCTTATTTATTACAAAACCACCTGATATTCTATAGAAAGACATCCGTCATAACGTCGATAGGAGTATGTTGTGGTCACTTATTGGATGACATTTTGTTCCTCTATGGGACAACCTATTTTTTTTAATCTTTTCAATTCTTTTGCAGGGAGATCATCTAGAATTCTATAGGCAGACTCTCAAGACTTCAATGCAATGATAATTTCGTATTCTACAATAAAACAATTTGATACTCTATATATGAGATATTTGCGACTGCTATACACATCATATGGGTTCTCTTTAAGAATAACACCTCCGATCTCTTCTATACGGCTTTAATGTGAGAAGAACTTCAGATCAAATTTACGAAGAACATTTAATTTATATTCCATAAGAAGATAATCGACTTTCGATTTTTTAATAAACACTTGGAATATTATCACAAGTCTAAAAATCGACTTTTGCCCTCGACTACGTATCCTTGGCTTTCTCAAAGAAGACATTTTGGCTCTCTCGAGGATGATTTTCTGATCTTCTAGAAGATGACCTTCCGATCTTCTAGAAGAAGACCTTCCGATCTTCTAGAAGCCGGCCTTCTGGTCTTCTCAAATAAGACCTTTTGGTATTCTACAAGAATATCATCTTCTAGAATAAGACATTCTGTTCTTCTAGAAGAAGGTCCTCTTCTTTCTGTTTTTCTATATGAAAACCTTCTGATCTCCTTTTGGTTTTCTGTAAAAATATCCTTGGTCTTCTGTAAGATTACTTCTTGCTCTTCTGTAGGAAGACCTCCAAGTCATCTTTAAAAATACTTCCTGGTCTTCTATAAGACTTCTTGCTCTTCTATAAGACCTCCTGGTCATCCAAAAAAGACCTCTTCATCTTCTATAAGAAGACCTCCTCATCTTCTATAAGAAGACCTCCTGATTTTCTATAAGGAGACCATGTGGTCTTCTTTAAGAATAGCCTATAGGAAAACCTCTTGGTCAGCTATAAGAATACATGTTGGTCTTCTATTAGAAAAGTTGAAGAGATATAGGGTGTCATGCACATGACGGGCAGATTTCGTTCACCGTGCGATCAATTGCATTGATCTCAGTTGTGGCAATACCACTCTGGTTTGTCGTGGTAGCTGCTGTTCTTCTGCTGCTATCGTATGCGGGTGAACTCCGATGATTCACTCTATATTCTCGAATTGGATTGAATACAATTCAATCGTACATGATAGGCCTGTTGATTTAGAGGCTCCGTTTTGTACCTTCGGACCTCTCTCTCTTTTCAGATCATAAAGATTCTTCCTGACATGCCTGGGTGGTAGATGCCTATCCATAAGGTGATGATTTGAATAGCTACTTGTAGCCGATATTGCATATTACATATTGTTGTGTTGAAGCACAGGAATCCTAGTTCATACTAGAGCCAGGCATGTAGTCTTTTGAATCACATTGGAATTTTTGGATTTGGATGTTCCAGTGGTCCGAAATCAAATATAGAATGAAGGGCAACTTATACAATACTTTGAAATCATGTCGCTACTGTGTCACAATACCCAATCCCACAAACTATTGTACCTAAACTCAAACATATACTTCATATAAAAAATATTTCACCATCACCTAAAAGTATGCATCACACACAAAAACTAAATAACCACAACAATTAATCCACAAGTTCGGATACAACAATAGCAAGTCCTTATAATATCTAAACCTACACACCAGTGCACCTAAAACCAAACCTACTCCCTCTCAATTATCTAATAGTGACAATTGAAATCATTTTTTATGTCAACGCCTAAAAGTATGCATCACACACACACACTCACTATATGACCACTGTATTTTAATAATAATAGTTTGTTGCCCCCCCTCTAACGCCAATGTCAATATTTAGTCAAATGCTATATAAAATCCACACAAATGAAGAAGAGGAAGAATCTAAAAGCAGAACAGCTGAATGGCATATGGTCGGTTAAGGCTCAAACTGTGATATTACAAACATGCATAACATATGTAGGAACTTATGTACGGACAGACGGACGGTTGAAAGTTTTTTTTATACATATTATTTTGCAACTAAAACAAACAACAAAAAACGCAAACTATGAACAAGTAAACTTTTTTTAAAGAGTACAATGAGCAGAACAAAACGAAAAGGCACGTTAGCCAGTCATTCGACGACAGCCACACAATAAGTCCTTGACTTTTCTATGGTTTGCACTGGCTGGGTGTCATGCACACCAGATGAACTTTTACGGGGAAATCAAGGCGCGAAAGGGCAATCAAGGGACGGACGGCAGGGTAAAACAAAATAACTCAAGGGTTGACAACAACACACACATTTCATCAAACCGAACCGAAGAGAAAAAACTACAAAAAACATGAATGTCACATTTGAATGGCTTACATCATTATCAAAACTTGACATTTGCCATAATAATGACACGAGGAATTTTTAAAAATAAACGAACAAAAAAAATGAGCTATGATGGCGGAATGAGGAAGTGTAGAAAGAAAAGAAAAAATGTCTCTCTACAATTAAACTTTACTTGTTTCTTATAAAAAATATTTAAATTTTTATGAAATAGAAAAAAAAATTGCCAAACACTTACATCTGTCATCTTCATCTAGGAATATGTAACTGATTAAAATCGCTCCCAAAATACCAAAGAACTGTAAGAAAAATAGAGGATAATTAATTAACTTGGGGTACCATTTTTTTTAATTTCATTAGAATATTACCGCTAATATACACTGCACTCCCGATTGGACAACCTCAACAATGTCATAGGTCAGCAGACAATCGTCCACTCGTTCCGGTCGTATTGGACGAAATGGATCCTCTGAGGTAATATTGGTATTGTACGTTGGTTTACAGCCATAGCCATTCACCTCAAACCAGGATACGCTACCGGTACCCAAATTTAGTAAATCGCTATCCTGAAAAAGGGAGAGAAAGAAAGAAGAAACAAATTTTGAAAATTAATAAAAATGCTACCTCAACAAATACAAGTTATTTTTGTCAGTGGGCGGCATTATTTTCCGGGATGTAAACACTTTTGGCATTTGCCGGGATATAAAGAAACTTCGGATATTGGGTTTTTAATGTTTGTCAGAACCGCATCAACTACACACCTATCTCGGTGGAGTGCACTGGATGTGGGAAATATAGAATTGGTTTGTTCCGAAGTTCAAAGGAACTCTTTTTCAAAAAGAACGATCGGAACTATTTTTGTCATGGGAATGCTGATCGAAACCCTTTTGGTAATCGTCGGGACATTCGTGCGGATATTTGTTCTCCATTGGATGTGGGAAATGTAGAGTTGGATCGTTCGGGAACAAACTAGTTCAAAGGAATTATTATGCAAAAGGAACGTTTGGAACAAATGTGGTTCTTTCGTTCGTTTAGTTCCTTTTTAACCAGTCGTTTCTTTTTCGAAACCCTTTTGGTACTCGTCGTGATATTCGTGTGGATATTTGTTCTCCATTGGTTGTGGGAAATGTAGAGTTGGATCGTTCGGGAACAAACTAGTTCAAAGGAATTATTATGTAAAAGGAACGTTCGGAACAAATTTGGTTCTTTCGTTCGTTTAGTTCCTTTATAACCAGTCGTTTCTTTTTGCTCCCGTTCAACTGGTTCAATTTCATACAATCGTTCATCTTATCTTTTGGTACTCGTCGGAAGAGAAAGAAACCCCGGATATTTGATTTTCATTGGATGTGGGGAATATAGAGTTAAATCGTTCGGAAAGGAACTAGTTCAAATGAACGTTATTTCCAAAAGAACGATCGGAACTATTTTTGTCATGGGGATGCTGGTCGGAACCCTTTTGGTACTCGTCGTGATATTCGTCCGGATATTTGTTCTCCATTGGTTGTGGGAAATATAGAGTTGGATTGTTCGGGAACGAACTAGTTCAAAGGAATTATTATGCAAAAGGAACGATCGGAACAAGTTTGGTTCTTTCGTACGTTTAGTTTCTTTATAACCAGTCGTTTTTTTTGCTCCGTTTCAACTGGTTCAATTTCATACAATCGTTCATCTTATTATTTGGTACTCGCCGGGAGAGAAAGAAACCCCGGATATTTGCTTTTCATTGAATGTGGGGAATATAGAGTTAAATCGTTCGGAAAGGAACTAGTTCAAAGGAACTATTCTTTACAAGGAACGATCGGAACTAGGTAATCTCATTCGTTCATCTAGATCCTTTCGCATCAGTCGTTTCTTTTTACTCCCGTTCAACTACTTCCATTTGATCCAATCATTCATCTAAATCTTGACCGAATTAACTGACGTGTACTCGTCGGTAGAGAATGAAACACCGGATATTTGCTTTTCATTGAATGTGGGGAATATAGAGTTAAATCGTTCGGAAAGGAACTAGTTCAAAGGAACTATTCTTTACAAGGAACGATCGGAACTAGGTAATCTCTTTCGTTCATCTAGATCCTTTCGTATCAGTCGTTTCTTTTTACTCCCGTTCAACTACTTCCATTTGATCCAATCATTCATCTAAATCTTGACTGAATTAACTGACGTGTACCGATGAACGATAGAACTAAACGGAACTATGGAACTAAATGAATGACCTAGTTTCCAGTAATGACCTATCCCGCTAGACAGCTTTCATGTGTAGAACTGCCGAGATAGATAAAACTAATGCATCTTACAGCAGACAAATAGTTGTGCACTGTCAATTCCACCTTAAGTTATAAACAGAGGTGTATAGTTATGCATGAGAAAATTAGGGTGAATGAGATTGTCACATCGTCATAGATTATATAATCGCCTGCGTAAGAACATCACTCGATTTTAAAACATCTGAACGCCATACTTTAAGATATCATGGGAAAGCAGATTGGCTGATTCAAGAGAGTTTTTCAATTAACGCTTTAGAGGAATTTCCGTAAAATTGTCACTATTACGAAACGAATATCCTAAGTTTAGACTGCAGAAGTGGCTAGACCCTCAGAAGCAATGTAACATTGTGATCAGAACAAGAAAACTTATGGCCAATGGTTAGGTCGCTCACGAACCCTGAAAGGAATGATGTCAGAACGACCACATTTATCGATAAAACAGTAAGAGACCTGAAAAGGTGTGCGTTTTATTTCAACAGAGAGATTGAAAACGCTTCGTCAAAGTGGTACCGTCGAAGAGACACCACAACAATTTACGAAGAAGTTTGTTCCAGACGTCATTAAGAACGTTAAGTCTTTCAACGCATTGGGCACGGATGGAATATCGATGGTAATACTTAAGCAACTGGATAGAACTGGAGCCAAGTATTTGACATCAACTCGCAATATGAATTCCTGAAGCCTAGGAAAGTTGGTACCACTACTGAATTCGATTAACTCTGTAAACCTATAATGAACCCCTATCACATTTAACGACATAACTGTGACAGACCAAAGAGGTGTACGTGTTACTTTAACCAGTAGTTTATAGAGCACCTCGACGGTGACAGGCCTATGAATAATTTGTTACGTCTTATAGGAGACCCCAGCCAAAAAGGTACCACCACAATTTACGAAGGAAATTTTTGCAGATATTATGACGAACGCTATGTTATGCAAAAAGTTGAGCTCCAACCAAAAAATCTCTGGTAATGCTTAAGCAACTGGATGAACCAGGAACCGAATACTTAACACCAGCTTTAGTTTTGTTAAATAGATCCTAAAGCTCTAAAAGACCTGTAGACTCCATACAGGCCAACCGGTATCTGTAAAGACATGTGGTCTCTATACAGACCAACAAATCTCTAAAAATAACTGTGGCCACTATATAGACCAACTGGTCTCTAAAAGACCTTTTGTCTCTATACACACCAACTGGTCTCTATAAAGACCGATAAATTGCTCTAAATAAAGAACAATTGGTAGTATTTAAAACGAGCTGTCTTCAGTAGACATAGATATTCTATAGGAAGACCTATCATCTGGTCTTTAATAAGAAAATCTTCTGACTTTATGGTCTCAAAATACATTGTTCGGTCTTCGATAAGAAACCCTTCTGGTATTCAGTAAGAAAACTTTCTGGTCTTCTATAAGAAGACCTTCTGGTCGTCATAAGTAGACCTTCTGGTCTTCTAAAAGAAGACATTCTGGTCTTCATAAGTAGACCTTCTTGTCTTCTAAAAGAAGACCTTCTGGTCTTCATAAATGGACCTTCTGGTCTTCATAAATGGACCTTCTGGTCTACCAAAAGAAGACCTTCTGGTCTCCTATAAGAAACCTTTCTGGTCTCCTGTAAGAAGACTTTTGGCCTCCTATAAAAAAGACCTTTTGGTCTTCTATATGAAGACTTCTGGTCTTGATAGGAATACTTTCTGGCATTCTGGTCTCAAAAAAGGTCGTTCGGTATTCTAAACGAAGACCTTCTGTTCTCCTAAAAGAAGACATTCTGCTCTCGTATAGGAATACAATTTTGTATTCTATTAAAAGCCCTTCAGGTCTCCTATAGGAATACCTTCTGGTCTTCTATAGGAATACCTTCTGGTCTCCTATAGGTATACCTTCTGGTCTCCTATAGGAATACCTTCTGGTCTCCTATAGGAATACCTTCTGGTCTCCTATAGGAATACCTTCTAGTTTTTCATAAGGCGAACTCCTGGTCAATAGTTTTTGGTGTGGTCAGAGGTCGCAAAAGACTTTCTAGTACTCTGTAGAAGGATATTCAGGTCTTCTATAAGAAAGACTCGGGGCTATCATAAGAAGGTCTTTTGGTCTTCCATAGGAATATATTTTAGGTCTTTTATAAGAAGGTCTAGGAACATATTTTAAGGTCTAAGGTGCTTGTATGGTTCTAGTAAATATTTAATATAGCTCATAATTACTTGATTATTGAGAAATACTTACCCTATCCAATGTCCCCACATTTAAATAGAAACAGATTAAAAATGCATTCCAGCCAATCCACAGAAAATTCCATAATAAATACTGCAAAAAAAGAATCGTATAAAAATAGACAGAAATTGTATAAGTACATGGAAATTACAATAATAAAAATAACAAGAAAATAATTTAAGTAAATCAATGAATCATTTACACAGAAGACAGAAAGAATTCTGTGACAACAGACCAGACCACAATTAAAATTTATTAATATTCATATAATTTATTAAACATACATCGGAGGGTAAGGGTGTTGGGAGGTTTATGTCAGATAAGTCATTTATTTGTAGGCTATCATCTCGTTCGTTGTGTTCTAGCCACAGCTATTTCAATGAACGATAACAATTTATTTTCCTCATTGTTTTTTTTTCAGAATATTTATGGTTCTGGCTGTCGATCGATTAGACATTTCGTCTAGATAAGATATCGGCAGGGAGAAAAAATTGGTAGTTGAGAGACCCCAATTGTTTTGTGCGTGTTTCTAATTGATTTTTTGTTTTTGTCGTTGTCATATTTTTATTTTATTAGAGAAAGCGGCGTTGCAATTTGGTTTACATAGCAATTGGGTCATAAAAATTACAAACCCACCCACAAACAAGAAATCCTCTATTTTTTCAGCTTTGCTTGGTTATGGTTTTGAAAAATAATCTAAATATAAATATAGATAGGGAGATTGGGAGTTATGTGTGTGTATGCAACAATATAGTTTAGTTCTATTGTGGTAATCTGCCTGTGGTCAACCCTTTCACCCCAAAACGTGATTGGCGTCACTTTGATTCGCTTCGAACCCACAGCTGCAATGAAGTGAGTGACGAGCGAGTGTGTGATATCATAATGTAAATATTTATATTGTGATAAATCATAACGTTAACGTTTTCTGATTGTGAGTAGGAAGAAAACTTTTGTCCAGACATGTGAGAAAATTCTCAGCTCCCAATCATCATAGTTTGTTAATATTTGAAAAAAAATTAAAAATATTTTTCCGTTATTAGAGAAAATTGTTTTTAGTTGAGAAATTAAACATCAGCTGCAAGTTGAAATAACATTTAATTTATTGTTCTAAAATTAAACTTTGCAATGTCTGAAAATCTCCTGCTGCGAGATGGGGTTTCCCGCAATATAAAGTGTTCAGAATTTGTAATTAAAACCTTAGATCATATATTTCGTCCTGATACCTTCTTGTGTGGACTTTTTTAAACATTTTGAGTACTTTAGCCATATACGTCCACCTACTTAAAAAATGGATATCAGATTAAATGTTTGAACATTCCCCTTCATACGCATGAAGTTCCCTGAGGGTACCCCAAACTAAGCTATATAGCTCTATCAGTGTTGTATCTCTAATAACAAGTCTACTAGTAGCCCTAAGTACTTCTCGTACGCCTTAGGAAGGAGTTTCGGAAATTTTAACCTGCGCTATAACACCCCTATGAAATTCGAATACATAGATATCGGATATTAGAAACTCAAAAAGCCGGAGATTTTTTTCTTTTATTCGTTTTTTTTTCTTTTATGGAATTATCGGATATATGAAAGTTATTTCTTATAAGCGTACATACGCTTATCTTAAATCTTTCTCATAAGAATAAATTCTCTTAACATAAATTTTTTAAATGAAAAACGTGTTTTAAAGAAAAACAGTTTTATTAAACAGTTTGACTAAAATAGGTGCATATGTTCCCATACATATAAATAATATTATTTCAAATAGAATTTAAAAATATTTCTATGGAGTTATCACGCGGATGAAATAAAACATTTTCAATGTTAATAAATTGGCCAATAATCTTACATATTGACATACATTTCTTATATCAGTGTTTTTCTTATTCGCGTATTTCTTATATGAATCAATTTTTACACTGAGGAGATGTAAAAAGGCTCGTTGTTTTTGATAATCTTTCTTATATGCGATTTTTTCTTATATGAGATGTGTTTATATCCGATATCTACTATATAACGATTATCGACCCACACTTTAGGTATCTATAGCCCAAAGCTGCTGGTTATCTTCCTCTCCTTTAGGTACCTTCCCCATAAGATTGCATAAAAAGTAGAATACATCGGTTCTGGGTTTAGCATAGTTCCGCCTTATTTTTCAAAGGGTTTTCCATGTTTTAACAATAAAGGCCCACCCCATTTTCAGCATTTTAATGTTCCTAGGGTGGTAAACAACTTCACTTTCGGGTAACCCCAATTTTGGTATGTTAAAGATCCTACTCAATTTTCCCAATGTGATCAAAAATCTGTGGCAGCATTTTAGCATTCCTGGTAGATTTTAGGTATTCGCCACATTATAATAAATCGTATAAAATGTTCCCCTTCAAAATTAATTAATTCGGTTTAATTCCTGTATATTTTGCCACAATGTTTTCGCTGCCAAGGGACACCGTAAATTGTCTTAGTGAAGCAGCATTTTCTTTTCCATCAAAGGCAGGGTTCCTTTCACTTTCAGTGTAGTGAAAAACCCGCCGTTATCGTGCACAGTCTATTCATATGGCTGTCGATTAAAATTCAGTTTTTGTGATTTTTTTTTTATTTTTCAGCGTCAACATGGCACTTCACCACATCTAAGGAATGTTACCACGGCGAAATTAGTAGACTTGAATAAAAGTTGACTGTACTTGTTATTGAAACAGTATTGCTTCTCATATATCCCCAAGAGTTCTCGAAGTAATTCAGTTCATGTATGGAAAATATAGTTAAAATATTACGTGAGTATCTGGTTATTATATAGGCCAGACCAGGCCAGGCTCAGAGTGTTTCTCTCAACAGAATGGGCTTGAGACCCTAAGAGGTCGGATGATGTTGGCTACATTGACGACCTGATTAATCAGCTCCATATAATGTTGGTTGTTGCACAATCCACGTAAAACAACGTATCTGAATATTGTAAGCCTTACCCTGAAACACTCTAAGACGACTACAGATGTTCTAGTCGAAAAGGATTAGGACATGGACATTGGATACTTAATTACGCTCTTTGGGTAGTGTAGCAAAATCGAATGTCACAGTGGCCAAGCAGTGTAATCGAAAAGGGTTGTAATGAATGTGTTTAGAGTCATCTACAAATCCTCATTCTCATTCCTGACCGTAGGCAGTACAATACAATTCTTTCTACACCATTCCTTAGGGTTCACTTTCAGCCAGTTCGGATGGAAGTTAACTTCTTCAGAATTAACTTTCCTACGAAGATAAACAATTTTCCTTCTTAATTTCTCTTTTGAGATGAGCTACATGATCGAAATTTAAAGTTACGCGTTGAAAGTCATCAGGCATATTGGGCAATGTGGCTTACAAAGGTGGTTACTTGATATGTTTTATTTATATCGAATTTGCAAAAATTGCATATACGAATTAAATTCAATTGTGTCAAGGTCCGGACATTTGTCATTACACCAGAACAACCCTTTTCAGAGGTGATTTTACTTGTAGTGATGGATGATTTTTTTAACCTACAATATTTTCTTCCATGGTATACAACTGCATATTGTACAACCCAGGAAGTTATGGAGGTGGCTTTGAACCCTAAGGCGCCCGACAACATTTGAGAGATGCCATAGGAACCAGAGTTCAAATCCCAGCCGGGCTCAAGCTGAATTTTTGAGTTTCATGCCTTTTAGAACGAAACAATATTTATATTTTTTTATCTCTTTTTCGAGTTAGTTATTAGAGATAGAGTTCTTAGACGTAATTTTAGGAACCATTTATTTAATGGCGCCATTTAGAAGACCCATAGAAAGCCAGAGTCAATAAAACTTTTATAATAATAGGCCTCCTGAATCTTCATTCCAAAATAATACACCTTAATAATTACACTTTATGAATTTTCTGTGGCTAAGAGCATTCGATTGATTTATGGCGTTATGTATTCTACTTACATAACGTCACAATTCCTTCCGATTTCTAAGCTTCCCGCTGGTCATACATTGTCACACAAATTTATTTCAGCGAGGTAAACAATTTGATGTTTAAACAAACAGGCGAGATCTGGAACGGTTGCCGTGAGGATAGCTGCGGATTTTGAAGTGTGACATTGGGGTAGTGTGAATTTCCGGTATCTATATGTGGGAAATTCTTGAAAGTAGTTACTTGGGAAATTTTTCGAAGTTGACTTTGAGTGGCAACTCAAAGTCGTTATATGTCTAACTAAGTTGTTGTTGAATGTCTGCCGAAAATTGATCCCTTAACTATCTCCCAACGCATACAATATATCAAAATCTACAAGAATTGTGATTCTGCCACAGCCACATAACGCGCTTTTAGATGAGATTATGGTTTACATAATCGTCGAAGTACGGAAATGTTAAAAAAATGGTCGTATTTAGGATCTCAGAATCCTCAAGTATATGAAGAGAGACTATTACATCCCAAAAAAGTTACTGTTTGTTGCGCTCTTTGGTCCGAAGGTGTAATTGGACCTTATTTCTTCGAAATGGCTATGGAACGAAAATCATCGTCAATTTGGACCGTTATGGTCATATGATAACCGACTTTTTCAGTCTGATACTGAGGAATACAACTTTGAGAATATGTGGTGTCAACAAAACGATACCTCATGACATACATCGCAAGCGAATATGGATTTATTTCAAGAGACATTTCCTGGCGGCGTAAATTCTCGTCCTGGCGATATCAACAGTCCTCCAAGATCATGCGATTTGACACCCAGGAACTAAAAATCAACCATAAAACTGTTTTAAACCATTTACAATTGACTAGAAACGGCCAGAATTGGACAACACTAGGCCACACACATCTACAATGTCTCTTGCATTGCAAAACTTCTTTAATGATAAAAAAATTTTAATCTAGGAGGATTGTGAAATCGACTACTAGAATTTCTTGCAAATAGAGAGCAGGACTTCTATGAGAGAGGCATTATGAAGTTATCTTTAAAATAGCAACAAATCATACAACAAAATCTGTATATTTGGTTCGTATAAAAATAATGGATTTCTTTTTCCCCAACCTAACATTTCGTGCTTACGTCCTGCAGTTGAATTCTGTAGCTTGTGAATATTCTACTAAAAATAAATTTGTTAAAATATATTTTTCATTTTTGTACAATTTATAGACTTTTTCATCCATCAAGGAATCAACACGGAACTATGTGAGCGAAAAAAAAAACAAAAAAGAACGATGAAAGAGAGGGAGAAATTCAAAGGAACTATCTAGGAGTCGGAACTATATGGAGTAAAAGAACTATGTGGAGGAAAGGAACTATATTAAGAAACTAGTTCCTTTTATAAAAAAGAAACGGTAAATATCGCTCCACTACGTGAACTAGATAGTCTAATGACTTTCGAATATCCATTTGCTTGATTTTAAGGAACAACTCAATTTTCGAACTCACCAGGGATTCCGAGAGGGAGCCGATTTTTTCAGTGACTTCTGCAAATTCAATGTGAAATTCCGTGGCCCTTTACGTGAACTCAGACTTCGATTAAAATGTGCAGTATTCTTCACTAGCCGTAAACATTGTCAATAACGTGTGCAACGCAGTCCAATCCCTTGGTCGTATTGGTGGGAAGACAACTCGAACACCTTAAATTACGTCACATCACTGTACCTTCATTTAGGGATTCGTAGTCGAGGGCAAAAGTCGACTATTTGCCTCTGATCAAAAAGACGGTTTTTAGAATTTTCTATTTTTGACTTTGGCTAAAAACAGTCTTTCCGATCTTTCGATTTATCAAACCAGTTCAAACCTGGAATGTGTAATTTTTGAACAATTTGGACTTTGTGATAATCAAAGAAGTTTTGTTGAAGAAAATTGTAGGTTATCTTGAAAATTTGACTTTTCGATTTACAAAAAGTCGATTAGTAAATCGAATAATCAAAAGTCGATTTACTTATCCCTACTCTCATCCCTTACCTCGTCTTTCTCGCAGAACTGGCAATTGGAAAAACGTTCCTCTATCATTAGGGAATCTTAAAACGTGTACAAGTTTTAGAGCCGGCAGAACTTAACTTGCAAATCGTATTATGTTACAACGTCTTATATAATTAATATTGAAATCGTCAATGTGGGGATCTCTAACTAAATATATGTATGTATGAGTTGCCAAACAATTAATTCAATCACAATATTCAACAAAACATAGCACTTACCGTAATTATATATTTTATTCTAAAATGATATGCTCCATAAAATCCGAAGATGATAAATAGAATATGAAAGAAATTAACAAATATTGGCGCCCACATGTATCCGAGAAAATCGAATACTTGGCGTTCGATTATGGTTATCTGGAAATGAGAAGAAAAGAAAAACTCATTAATAACTGTGTGGAAAAACTTTCAACATTAAAAGAAAAGTTTTCATATGAAAACAAACAAATAATCAAATATTGAATGTTTATATTATTTCGTTATAGCAGAAACTTAATTAAACGCTGGGGGGGTCAACGTAAACCTAATTTTAAACAAATTAAATGGAAACGAAAAAAACTCAAATAATAAAAAATTGTCTAACAAGTTTCAAATGCCCGAAACATTTAATTCAAGTTAATTTCATAGAATCTTTCTTTTTAGTATACCGCACACACGCAGGCCACAGCTTTCCAAAAAAAATGGATGACCGTCCGCCGTCCGGCTAGTAATTGAGACTAATTGATATAAAGTGGGTGAAGTAATCATTTTGTTTTTAGTTTTTGTTGTTGTTATTCACCCTTACACTCGATGAGACAACTGTGTTATAAGACATACCCCCTTTAAGCAGATTTGGCCCCTTCTGTTCGAGGCAATTTGACAAATTAAGACCATATATTTACGAGTTTTGAAAGGAATGTAAAGAAATAAAAGGGGGAGAGTATTTTTCAGAGTACACATGCACTTTAATTTCCATCACATATCTCTAAAAAAGTAATTTTGTGACAAATGTTGGTCGTGGTATTTTTTTATAGCAATATCGGAAATAAAAACTTTCACCCCACTTTTAATCACATTAAAAATAGTGCACTATTAAAAAAGGTGTGTATATAGCTGACATATAAAAACTTCCGCATTTGAAAATAATTAGCCCCTAAGAGGATAGATTTTATTGTTCAGAAATTCGGTCTACTTAAAAGAAAATTAGTATACTCTGCCTTAAGTGTATGCTTTTTTCCTAAACGCATAAAAGTATAAATTTTGTTCATAAACGGAAAAAATATAATTTTTTCCTAAACAGAAAAAAACTATGCTCAACAACTTTGATTTTTTCCTAAACTTTACTCAGAAGCACAGTGTATGATTTTTTCTTAAAGGCAGTTGAATAAATGAACAGTTTTTCTAACCGAAGTATGAACTTTTTTCCTAAAAGGAAAACAACCTGTTCTCAGCAGTTGACAAAGAATATTTTTCCTAAATGGAACAGCATCAGTACTTAGCAGCTGAATATAAACGGAACATTATCATAAATAGAAAAAATGCATGCTCAACAGCTGAGTATGAACTTTTTTTCTAAACGAAAAAAAACATTATGTTCAGCAGCTGAGTATATGAACTTTTTTCCTAAACGGAAAAAAACATTATGCTCAGCAGCTGAGTATATGAAGAAAAAAATGTGTACTCAGCAGCTAAGTATGAACATTTTTCCTATACGGAAAAAAATTATACTCAGCAGCTGAGTATATACAGTTTTCCTAAACGGAAAAAATGAATGCTCAGCAGCTAAGTATGTACAGTTTTCCTAAACAGTATGAATGCAAACTCAGCACCAGAGTATGAAATTTTTTTCTAAAAGAAAAAACCCTATACTGCAGAGAATTTAAATGAATCTGCCAATTAATTGTTTTCCTTTATTTATTTTGGAATTGATTCCATTAGGGAAAAATTCATAAATTTATGTCATTCAGGAAAAAGTTCATTAATTTCTTATATTTAGAAAATAAATGGTGCTCCGCTGTGAATAGAAGACATTTCGGTGGTCTTGTAGATATCGAGAGTAGTAGATAGAAGATATTAAGGAGTTCTTCTAAGGATAGATGCCTTTATGGGAAAATTTGTTGAGGTAATTTATGGAAGGACAGATACAATGACTATTGGAAGTCATTTATAGATTGAAGATCTCCTAGATAAACGATCTCCAGAAGAAGAAAAAATTTTTTACAGACCATCAATTCATCAAACACCCAGCTGATAGATGATGATCTGTAAAAAATCTTCCTTCCATTGATGCGTCCTTAGATTTTAAAAAAAAACTTAATGAATATTTTTGAAAGATCTTCTGAAACTTCTTTGCCCATAGATATCGACCTTATATCAATAAGTGAACTTTTATATGCCTTCTATACTTCATTGCACAGGGGTCTTCTGCAGATCTTTATGCGATCATCTATGAATAGAAGTATTGAAGGAATTTAGAAGGACTTTTTCGGAGATCTTTCATGAAGTGAAGACTTTATTGATAGAAAAAAAACGTTAGAATGTCAAAAAAATCTTCTATTCATAGAAGACTGAATAAATAATTTGTATTCTCTATTTCCTTCCTTCTACCCATAAAAGATTGCATAGAGAGCCACAGACATCTGTTTGTCCTAAATAATTTTTATTCTTTATGTCCATAAAATACTTCTTATATTCATGGAGGCATTCTTACAGGACTTCTGCGAATCTTTATGCGGTCTTCCATGGAAAGAGTGACTTAAAGGCCTATTCTTTGGATAGAAGGCTTTTGGAAGTTATTCTATGGATAAAAAAGTACCTCCTTTGGATCAAAGGCTTTTAGAAGGCCTTCTGGGGAGGGACAAGATAAGGTTTAAGCTGTTTGTTTTTTTGTAGATAAACAACTACATGGAGATTCTCTTTAGAAAAACTGAGGATGTCTTATATAAATGATAGAAGACCCTTTATGAAGTTTATTTGTGTCTAGAAGACCTCGAGGAGGTTTTTATCAACGGAAAATATTGAACAATGCTTGCTATAAATAGACATCTGAAATGTGAAATTCCTTTAAGAGAAGTATTCCTTTGTAAATAAAGTACATTTAAGAGGTCGTTTACAGATGAAATACTTATAGAAGACCGACAATTGATAACACCCCTCAATTTTGAAAACCGAAAATATAAAATACATATGAAAGATCTCCAAAAAGCCCTTCCAAAGTCCCTCAAAACATCTAATCATAGAAGACCGCATAAAGATCCGCAGAAAATCTCAGTGCAAAAAATATTGAAGTTATTTATGGATATAAGGTCTAAGGACGTTTTCTATGTATGGGAGACGTTTTTTCCAGAATCTTCAGAGTCTGAGATTTTTTCTGTAGGAAATAAATGCCTCTCTCTATAGCCAAAAAAAAAAATGAACTTCTTTCCTAAGCGAATTATGAAATTTTTTCCTAAAAGGAAAATAACCTGTTCTCAGCAGTTGACAAAGAAAATTTTTCCTAAATGGAACAACATCATTACTTAGCAGCTGAATGTAAACGGAAATAATGTATGCTCAACAGCTGAATATGAACATTTTTTCTAAACGGAAATAATGTATGCTCAACAGCTGAATATGAACTTTTTTCCTAAACGGGAAAAACATTATGCTCAGCAGCTGAGTATATGATCCAAAATATGTATACTCAGCAGCTAAGTATGAACATTTTTCCTATACGGAAAAAATTATACTCAGCAGCTGAGTATATACAGTTTTCCTAAACGGAAAAAAATGAATGCTCAGCAGCTAAGTATGTATAGTTTTCCTAAACAGTATGAATGCATACTCAGCACCAGAGTATGAAATTTTTTTCTAAAAGAAAAAACCCTATACTGCAGAGAATTTGAATGAATCTGCCAATTAATTATTTTCCTTTATTTATTTGGGAATCAATTTCTTGTCCATTAGGGAAAAATTCATAAATTTATGTCATTTAGGAAAAAGTTCATAAAATTATTTCATTTAGCAAAAAGTTCATAAATTTCTTATATTTAGAAAATAAATGGTACTCCGCTGTGAATAGAAGACATTTCGGTGGTCTTGTAGATATCGAGAGTTGTAGATAGAAGATATTAAGGAGTTCTTCTAAGGATAGATGCCTTTATGGGAAAATTTGTTGAGGTAATTTATGGAAGGACAGATACAAGGACTATTGGAAGTCATTTATAGATTGAAGATCTCCTAGATAAACGATCTCCAGAAGAAGAAAAATTTTGTTTACAGACCATCAATTCATCAAACACCCAGCAGATAGATGATGATCTGTAAAAAATCTTCCTTCCATTAATAGGTCCTTAGATTTTTTAAAAACATTTAATGAATATTTTTGAAAGGTCTTCTGAAACTTCTTTGCCCATAGATGTCGACCTTATATCAATAAGTGAACTTTTTATGCCTTCTATACTTCATTGCACAGGGGTCTTCTGCGGATCTTTATGCGATCATCTATGAATAGAAGTATTGAGGTAATTTAGAATGACATTTTCGGAGATCTTCTATATATAGAAGACTGAATAGAGAGGCGCAAACATATTTTTTGTCTCAAATAATTTGTATTCTCTATTTTCTGTGTGTCCTAAATAATTTTTATTCTTTATGTCCATAAAATACTTCTTATATTCATGGAGGCATTCTTAAAAGGTAAACAACTTTAGGACTTCCATGAAAAAAATTCTTTAAAATACCTTTAGGAGTACTTCCATGGAATGAATTTCTTCTATAGATCGTCTTGTAAAACATTTTGGAAGTATTTTTTTGACATTAGAAAGGTGTCGAAGGATGACATTTTGTTAAATCTACACCGGAAAGGAGGTGTTTAGAAAGATTTCTATGAATAAAAAGTTAAAGATTTGTAAATAAACTACATTTATTTACATCTACATCTATTTACAGATGAAATACTTATAGAAGACCGACAATTGATAAGACCCCTTTGACGATCTTCTGCTCTTTGAATATTTATCCATTTTGAAAAACGGAAAATATAAAATACATATGAAAGATCTCCAAAAAGCCCTTCCAAATACCCTCAAAACATCTAATCATAGAAGACCGCATAAAGATCCACAGAAGATCTCAGTGCAAAAAATATTGAAGGCCTATATGAACTTATTTATGGATATAAAGTCTAAGTACGTCTTCTATGTATAGGATACGTTTTTTTCAGAATCTTCAGAGTCTGAGATTTTTTTTCTGCAGGAGAGAAATGTCTCATTGTGGGAACTGAGGTCGGAGATTTTTTCTATTAAAAAGAAAATGTATCATCCTCAGTGGGAACTGAGGCCAGAGAGTTCTTTCTAAACGAAAAAAAAATGTCTCAGTGTGATTAAAGGATTTTAAGC